TGATATCAGTTCTGTACCCAGGCTAAATGACCTGCACCTTCATGAACTCCTTCAGGTCAAAGCGGATTTGGGGTAAATTTATGCGTAGTTTCCCCATGCAGCTAAATCTCAGGCTTGAAACATACTGTCTCTGAATGTTCAGATGTTGCCAAACTTAATTTTAAAGATGATAGAGAAGTGACCAGCCTAATCCAATAATGGTTTTCACTGAAGAAAGCAGGTTCCCCACTGCTCTCCCCTCACTCTCTGGTCACCCACCTTTGTCAGAAATGAGCCATTTGCCCATGCAGAAAGCTGACGTTACTGCAGGTTGCACAGACAGCATGTTTTCTACTTTATTCCTGCTCTTTGTGGTTATTTGCACCTGCAAACCCCTAGACATCAATCAGGCAACCTTGTTTACATCCCTGCCTCGGAGTCTGCTTTCCCTCCAAGAAAGCATAATTCCATCATCATTTTAGTGTGTAGTCTCTGCTGTTTCCCATTTCAGCATAAAGCACTTGCTAATACAGTAGGTAAAAGGCCTGCCCTCAATTTTAAAGAACAGTAATTAAAAGCATCAAATCCCGGGGATGTAATAAAAAGTTCTCAGACAATTCAGGAGAAGCCAATAAGTACTTTTAAATAAACTTATCAAGATGTGCCATCAGCTTTACAAGTGGTCACATTACACAGGTTTGACTAGCAGGGACAAATTAACCTCTGGGTCCTGTGTAATGTACCCTTTGGATCCAGAATTCCCAGGAAAGAAGGGGCTGCTCAAGGAAAGCACTGAATGCTAACATCTGCCTTAACAAAAAAAAAAGAAAAACCCCAAACCCCAAACCCATGAAGAAACAACACAAACAGAATTTATGATAGTCCCCCAACTGCTGACAGCTTTACTTTTCTTCAGTGCTTGCTTGCATCAGTGAGACTTCTATGTGAACGGTCTGAAGGGTGAGAGTAAAGCATTCAGGTTTCGTGCTTTTCATTTAATATCCAGGGTGTGATTATAAACAGTCTTCAAAGAGAGAGAAAAACAAAGAACCGGCCTTCAACAATGCCTCAGGTGAACCCACCAAAACAAGGTCAATGGTCCTTTGCATTTCTAAATGTGTAAAGGATACTGTACCTCACAGACACGGGGCTGCAAGGACTATTCACACTGACAAACAGAAGACTGGTAGGACGGCTAATGGCAGCAAAATTGTGTATGTAGGCATTTTTTTTTCCTCCTGCTTTTCCTTTTCATTTAAAATTGCTTCCTTTTGTTCTGCAGGACAATAGGATGCTTGTGCCCTTTCTCAGTCCCATTGGCATATTCTGGGCAGCCAATATTTATCTGGGATTGTGATTATACAGTGCTTCATTGTCTCTTGGGTGTTTTATAAACGCATTGAGATAAGTCAGCATATTGGGGAAAAGACTATTCTGCGAGAGATAAACCATGCTGTTTCACAGGGGTACATGGATTTGACCATGTTGTCCATAAATGAACAGTAGAAATGAATTTATGGCTTCAGAGAAAACATAAACATTAAACTAAAGATGTCTGCAACTGGCATTAATACAGAGAGGACATGACTTATACTAGAAGTTCTCCTGGACTGAGACCATCTCTATATTTCCTGTTGTCTTTATGATAATTGCCACCAGAATTTGTTAATATGCTTTGGGATCGAAGATGCTATCATAAAAATAAAACTATTAGATTAATAACAAGATCCTTGAGGTCCCAGTCAGCAATGTGCAGAGGCTATCTGCTATGGAAATATTTGGGTGATGTTGACTCATTACGGCAGCCTACTCTACAGTGAATAATGAAGACATGAGCTGCAGGAAATAACATTGCCCAGTTGTTCCCATGGCCTGAAACCCCCAGCTTCTGCTGGAATTAGGAGCCAGCACCATTTATTGAAGCCTGATCTACCTTCTATTTGAATTATCGCCCAGAGAAGTAATCCCACAAGACTGGGCATCTGCCAGTGTCTTAAGGTGATGCTGCTATCTGGCTTCTCCAAGGCACTGACTGCTCCCTTGCTGGAGCAGAAGGCTGGAACCATTACCCATGTGCAATGCTGGGCACACTCATCCACTGCCTTTGGATGGAAATAGTTACAGTGCACACACACACAAATGTATACAATCAGACCCAGCATGAGTCTAAAATGGGTTCTATGAGCATTGCTTCTCAAAAATCAGGTTTTCCAAAAAGGTTCTGCTGAGCTTTTCCTGCAGAAGGCCACAGGTGAAAGCACCCAACATTCAGGATGAAGGCTTCCAAATTCAAATGGGGGTTTAGCAAAACTAAGTGCCACTGTCAGTGTATCTCTAGCAAATGAGGGCTTTTCTTTGTTTTTGCTTCCAATGCAGCCTCTAAGTTCAAAGTGCAAGAGGCATTGCTTCCTGGAAATGGTTTGTGATAAGGGCATAAATCTGTTTTGTTTAAATGGAACTGCATTTCTAAGCTGCTTAGTCGCAAGAAGCCGTTTTGTGGGAAAAGCAAATTTTTAGGAACACCTCAGTGTTACAGGGTTTCCTGGAAATATGCACCAAATTCACACTCAAGGTCACAGTTGCGGTGCCCTTGCTATCTCAGACCACCTGCCCATGAAGGTTATATTGTCATAGCCTTCTCATCATCTTTCTCCTCATATCCAAAAATGCACCAGACAAACCCCAGCCCTCCCGCCTCCAAGGTGATTGTATAGCACGCTTGATTTCTTCTGCTTCCTGACAACTATACAGATATGTATGCTTAGTCAGAGCCTAGTGCCCTTCCTCACAAATTAGGCAGGTGTTTTATATAGATAGAGGTGGGCTGTCAAAAAGTGGCAAGGTAGCACCCAGCCAAGGACTTCTGATGCTTCACATCAGAAAACTCTCTTGCTGCTGAGGTTCGTGCCATTCCCCTGGGTGCTTGTAGGCATCCTTGGTGTGTGAGGGAGGTCCTGGGGACACCTCCACGAAATATGCTATGGGCATGTGGCGCTGCTTGGGTGCCTTGCTAGAGGGCCCATAACTGGCCTATAGCTACCATGCCAAAAGTGCGTCTGAAACACCACAGAGTCTACAGGCAGGGAAACAGAAGTTCACTTGCTGTCAGCTCGAGCTGTAAGGATTACAGGCTGCTCCCATGGATGGTGTCAGTCTACCTCTTCTGCAGGCACTGCTGCCAGCTTCATCTGGGAAAGGTGACGCCAGCCACAGAGAAGGGCAGGAGAAAAAGAGATGCCAGCTCTTCCCCCCACTGACGTGAAGTGAAGCTTATGATATTGGAAAGGATTTTAAGCCCAGGCCTCCAGCTCTCTGCTAAGAATGGCACAGTGCATGAACGGGATCCGAAACATCATTGTTTGTGCACCATAGGGAAAATGCCAGTCCAGTACTTTAGGATCCTCCCCCCTCCTTCAGTCAGTTGCTATCAAAGGCTCAGCAACCGCAGGAACCAGTAGCCTAGAAAATGGTAGATCATTAAACCTCTGCTTGGTTTCAAAACCCCACTGCCACCAGGGAACAGAGGGATTTAGTTTAAAATGCCTTTAAAATATAAGTTGTCATTGAAAGGGCCTGCTCAGCTCAGCTCAGTTTTATGCAGATAATTACATGCTTCCCCCCCCGGCTTTGCTGATGAGGCCAATACTGACCACCGTGCTGGTCCATGAGGCTAAGTGCCAATTTGGGACACCTGCCTCCCTCCTCTGTCACCCTGGGAAAGCCACCTCCCAGCTCTGGTGTGATCCCTGTGGATGAGGACTCCCTCCCACATAAAATATACTCCTTTTTAGCACTCACAGGCAGCTCTGAGTACCAGATCCATACTGCCCTGGCTCTTCTGCAGCTTACAGGACAGAGGTAGGCTAAAATACCCGGTTATCTTACAATAGGCTTCTCTCTGCATCAAGGCAGACCCTGTCTCCTGCAGGAGGAGGAGGTGACAGCAGCTTGTCACCGGAGTCAGGTATACCATAGTAGCAGCAGCATGAACAAGGCTTTTCTTTCAAATGTATTTCACAGAAAGAAATGTTTTCTCTGCCAACTTGCAGAGTATGGGCTGAGGAAGATGTGTGGTTCTCAGTGAAGCCAGCTGAGTAACCCTGCATCTGTGGTCACCCAAGCCCATTAGGAGTCTTCAGTGGACTTAATTGAAATTGTTGGGTTTTGTCTTTCAGAAAGGAGTGAATAGTAACAAACTATGCAGGGTAACACCTTACTGATGCTACTGAGAACATGTTTTCTGGAGTATAGCATGGTCATCTGTATTAACCTCTCGTAAAACTCAAAGAACTTGAAGCAGTTTTTGTCACTTGCTACTAATAAATTGCAGTCTGTCTGATAGGAACTTGTCTTGTTCAGGTACCATGCATCCTGCTCAGCTTAAAGTCTCTGTGCAACATATTGGCAAAGTATATTTGTATTGTCCTTTGCTTTGGCTAAGCGATACACTGCTATTTACCAGTCCTCACAACTAATGAAATTAGCAGACCTACCAACACGGCCAGGCTTGAAAACTGTGCCTGACACATCCTGCATGCCAGACCTATTGCACATCGACAGTTTGCCTGTATGCATGCCGATGACCTCTTCATCACCTGTGCAGCGGGTCCAAGGTGTACAGAACATGTTGAGCTCATTCAGCATGTTCAGCCGCCTCGCTCCCCACGTTGTGCAATGCCCATTTACCAGGAAACGGACATTGCATGACCCGGGGAACGAAGCTGCTGAACATGGTAACTCCATAGATTGCCACCCCCAGTAGGAGGGCAATAAACACCCAAAGCAGTGCTTATCACTAAAATTGGTAGGGTTGGTGAGCCTGAGCTAAGTCTTTAGCTCAAAGGGTGGGTCTCCATGTTTTAGATGTTGAGACTGAAGAACCATCCCTGTGACTCAGCCAGGAGCTTAGCAATAGAAATAGTTGCAACGTCAGTTGCTAGGTATTGCCATGTACATCACTGTAAGATAACAACTGTGATTTTGGGTACTCTGGGAAAAATTTTGGATATAGAGGCACTCACCATGAAGTGGATGGTCCACTGGGAAATCGCATAGCTGATCTTCCTCTTCCTCGTGTTTTCTTTTGCCTGCTACGTGTTCACGTTCTGTGTCCTCACCCAGGAGGGAAGCTGGGCTGTCAGTAGGTCTTCTGCAGTGAGCTGCCTGCACTTTCTTTGCCCTGGCCATGGGTGTAGCACATGTGGCAGGGAGAAGCATTTTGGCTGAAGGTAGGTCACAGTCTAACTGACTCCTGCTGCTGGAATCTGTGAAGGGAACAGCACAGGGGAGCTCTGAATAAAGCAACTGCCGTTCAGCGCACCTTCCAGTTTGTGTGAAAAAAAGAAGCATGGGTGTGGCCTAGATACTTTACCATTCAAACCTGATCATATTTGAAATGGCCTTAATCCTTATGTGCTGTGCAACAATGCCAGGATGACCCCATGTTGCAGGGGCATGATCCCCCAAATCTCACTTGTTCTCTGCTTCCTTCCACATTAAAACAGTCAATGGTCCTTGTGGGAGATTTTCAAAAAAGGACTATAGAAATAAGGAGACACAACCAAATGATCAAGAAAGCTCAGCTTCCCTGTCAGTATCCAAATTGGTGGCTGCCTTTTCTGAAGAACTCAGAAGTACAGTAGATGTGGAGCTGCTCTGAAAATCTGTCGGCAAGATTGCCATGGAATTTTCTGGATGCCAAGTACTTTTAAAAATCTGGTACTTTCTTAAATGACCCTGTACTTACACCTACCCTATAGGAAGATGTGCCAGAGAACAGGCCAAAGGTCAGTGTCTTCCCCAATGCAGGTCCATTTATCCTATCTTCTACATCTGAGCTGTCTGCTGCTCAAATTTAGGCATTGGATAATTCTAAAGGCAGCCTTTACCCAGGCTGTCAACATTTCCCATCTGCCTTTGTGACAAGTGACACTGGTGATATCTAGGAAGGTACCGACAGTCAACTCACCTGCATGCTTTTGTTGACAGGACAAACATAAGAGAAGTGTATGTTAGCCCTTTTCCATGGAGTGCATAAGATTAGCTTAGATGTGAGCGTGGGCATTATAAACAATCTCAATGGGAGCTGAAGGTAACCTCAGTGGTAACCAGTGGTGACGTGTGCTAGGACACCTGACCCTGAGCGGTGATGAAATTGGTCACAGAAGCCACAATCTTTCTTCTGCCATGGTGTTGCCTTATGACTAAGAGCATCATCTCTGTGTGTAGCAGGGGCACTGCAAAGATTTTTCAGATTATTTTTCTGTCATCATGAACATAGTATGAGTCCTTATTCTTCCTTATAAAGGTAAGTGAACTTTGCAAAGCCATTCACTGAAGTATAACATTCTGGGAAGCCTCGTGGTTCAAGGCAGCGGGCTGTCTGTGGGTGTTAGCATCCCAAGCGAGGTATACCAAATACTCCCATTCTCTTACACACTCTTTTCTACATTAAAGCCTCACCATAAGCCCCCATTAGAGTGCTTTATGCGCTGCCTTTGGTAGATACAATCAAGGCTCAGGCTCGACTCTTCAAAGACAAGGTAACTGGGGCTGTGCTGCTTTAATGGCAAACCTAGAATTTGGTCTAGTTTTCCTTCACATCTGGATTTCTTTGCTTGGAAAGGCAGAGTAAGAGGCAACATATAAGCATAATGAACCCACTGGGGAATTTGGGTTCCATGGTTGGCATGACCCTGAATTGAATGTGACAGCACAAGTTTGTCTGCTATTACCACCAAAGAACACTAAAATCTTAATGCAGTAATGGACTGCACTCCTGAGCAGCCACCCACATCTAGGCTCTGGGGTTTGCAGCACATGTGGCTGTTCCCCTCTTCCCTCTCACATCTAAATAGCAGCAGGTGTGAACCCCAACAGGTTGTACTGGAAGAAACTCCATTTTTAAATATATGTTTTACTTCTGGTGCAGCATCCAGCACTGGCAAAGCATCTAACTTTTTAGACTTGTCAGAGTTTTATTTTCTGAACAAATAACAAGTTCTATTTGTAACCAGCCTTGGAGCAATGATAATTATAACATCTGGAGACAAAGTGCCCAATTCTGCCCTCAGTAAAAGCCCACACAATAGGAATTTTACAGAGGCCTGACACTGACATGAAGAAAATGCAGTTACAAGAGCTCTGGAAATTAGCCAAAGCCTCATGTCAATAAAGGATGGTTGTTCAAATGTTATCTTTTCAAATTATCACCAGTCTTTGGGTAAGCTTCTAAACACAATTGCATGTGTCCAGCCATGCTGACCTTAAAAACCTGGTATGAGGTCCACCTCTGTGTTTGAGGCATATTGTACAAAATGGGACTCACTTAATTCCTTTAGGATCAACTAGGTTTGAGTTTTCTGGTGAGAAAACAGATGAGGTTTTGAACAATATTTGTGGGATAAAGGGGGATGATAGACCTGGGAGTGGTCACTAGCATGGGGCTCGGGTTAAATGATTTGCTCGAGAACTCAGGGGATATCAGTGTTGGCATAGGTTCTTAGCCCAGGATTTCTATGTCAATCCCCCATCCCTAAATTAAGGAATAGTTGCACTCCCTTGCTAGGTGGGATACTGCAAAGATTAATATGTTGTAGAATTGATGGTGCTTATATCCTACAGTAATGAAGAACATAAGGGTATCTGAGCAAGGTGCTCTTATGGGCAGTGATTAAAGCTTTCTAAGAATGACACTGGCATTTTCTACATTATAGCAGACTTTTCACATGTCTTTCTGCTTCATACACAACTTTCCTCCCCAAAATTTTTCTCTGAGATACTCACATAACCCAGTGATGAGCACAACTTATGTATGAGCATGGATAGAATAATTATAGGCTGAAGAAGAGAAAACAGGGAGGGAACGGAAGACTGTCCTAGGCAGATGGGAAAATACCAATGTCTCTGTGAACTGGTGAAAAGGAGTGGGAGGATGTGTTGTCTGAGATCAAAGAAGCAAATTAGAGTGGCATGAACCTTAAAGAGAGGCTGGAAAAATCAAGAAACTTTTCTAGAGGATAAGACTGAAGGGAGATGATACTGAGTTTAAAGCACATATCTGAGAGTTAGGAGCCCCAGTGTCTAGCCCTGTTTGTATTGCAGCCTTCTCTGGTGCCTGCTGTCCTGAACAAGCAAGGGGACTGTCTGAAGCGGTAGCTCTTTAGGCCAGACAGTATTTTTTGGTGCATATTCATGTGACTCCAGCAGAGAGCTCTGAAAAATACTTATGAATTGGCACAGGGTAAAATTTCCTCCAGGGAATACAGTTTTCTTTTTTTATTTTTTTTTTTTTTGCAGGGATGACAATTACATTTCAGCCTGGCACAACATGAGATATTTGTTACTGTCGTGCACAGAAATGACTTTGACTTGTGGCTCAAAATGGTCTTTTTGGCTTGACTTCAGTCGTAGGAAAGGATGGGAAATTTCAGGCAAGGTATTAATATTTCTTTTTGGAAGCAGGAGGTTATTTCAGATGGCCTAAGTTTCATTTAAGCCTTTTTGTGTAATCACTGGAGAGAGACAGACCTGTGTGTAGGCATAAGGCTTAAGATTTTAGGGTCCTACTAAGGCTGCGAACAGGGAAGAGTCTGTCACTGAAAAATGCAAGCAGCTTTTTACTGTGCTGTTTTTCTCCTGCTTCTATGCCTTGTTTTGTTTTGGTTTTTTTTTTTTTAAGGTAGATTGTTTTCCCATGTAATAGGTGGGGTGAATTGGTGATACTGGCCAGGTGGTATCTGTTCAGTTATATTCCTTCAACTGTTTCCTCTTTTGCAATAAAACTGGGTGGAGTGTTGCTAAGGATGAAGTAAACAATCACCATATTGACATTTGTGTGTGAAGTGGCAGTTGTATTCTTGTTGATTTGCATATCCTTAACATAATTGGGCATAACACAGGTAGAATGACAAAATTACTCTGTCTGCTACTGCTTTTACTGTTAATTTCCCAGGTGTAACATCCTCATGTCAAGCTCTCCTTGAGCTGATAATGGACCTCCTGTTGGTGGAACCTCACTGGCAGAAACCGAGGGAGTAATAAACAATTATTTCAGATGTACTTTCAAGCACATTGAAATCAAGTTCCCAGGGATTTCAGAGGAAGGATTTCTTCTGAAATAGGCCTGCTAGTCTTCACTGTTTAAAATGAAAGAGTTGGCACTAGGGAGGACATCAGCACTTGCTGGGTGTTTATTTGTGTCCTTTGCAAAGGCCATGGTTACCCTTTCTAGGCACTGTGACAAAAAGAAGAGAGGGAAAGCATAGACTGAATACTAAAATGTCTACTTGTTCACTATTCTTTTTTTAACTTGGTAAGAGTCTTTCAAAAATTCAAAAATTTCAGTAGACTTCAGATCAACAGCTGCAGTTCCAAGTGATCAAGTAGGTGTGCAGTAAACTCACAAATGGCTAATACCGCAACTGGGAAGTCGCACACTCCTGCGAAGACTGCACACTCCTTATTCCAAGTCCCACTGGAATTACACTCACAAAAACCCGTGAACATAGGAGTCAGGCCCAGAGATCTTCTCATACATGATCAAGTTCTGCCCCAGATTTCCATAAGAGGCTGGCACTGTACATCACAACATCTTTTTTGTCAAAGAATTATAAAATAATTTAGGTTAAAAGTAACCTCTAGAAGTCATCTGGTCCGGCACCCCTGGTGGGGTTTTCTTGCGAAAGGACTCCAGGGTAAGCTTTTTCTATGATGTCCCTCATGTCTGACATTCTGCATCTTCTGGTCATCTGGTCCTACCTATGTCCTCAGCTCTTAATGGCTAGATTTAGACTTCAAGACAAGTGTGATCTTGGTACCTAGACTGCCTGGATCAGCAGACAAGCTGGATGATTATTTCTGGCCTGGGTATTTACCTTATGGTAGCCACGAGTATGTGTGTGCTGCCAGTTCTTGCTCTCATATGGATCATGGCTTGGCCCTGTGGGAAATGCTCTTAAAATCCATAGTAGGATATAACTCAGTTCTGACCTGTAGAACTTCCTTCTTTGCTGACACTGAACTGTTCTGGGAAAGCAGCTGGATTTGAGTCCCATCCTGGAATTTCCAACAAATTCCCTAGCTCATTTCAGTTCCCTGACCTTGGCCAGCACAGAGCCAAGTTAGATATGGCTAACTATTTACACAACTTGTTTAATGCCAGTGTTATATGGCATGAAGTTGAATGACTCTGATAAAATACAGAAATTATCCCAAGATGTACAGCAGAGGGTATTGCACTTCTGAAATAAATAAACCTTATCTGCAAAAATCGGCAGTGCTGCTGGGAAAGTAAAGGGTAATAAGCTTACGTATCTCTGTGGTGTTAGCAAGAAACCAACAGTGAAAAAGCTTCATTTTCATTCTCTTGTTTTAAACATCCTTGATCAATTGCAAAAGCAATGTACAACAACTTTTTGGAATATCTCTATAACTTTCCTGTTTTTCCAGCTCCAGTGACAGTTAAGTGAATCTTCATGTGTAAATACTATCTTCATTAATTAATATTTTACATTGCCTTAGGTGTATTAATTCAACCTTGCTTTCTAGCAGGGGAAAGAAGAGTTGCTATATTCTCTTGCTACAGCCACAGTCCCTCTCTGGCTAGGTGATGAAGCGAAGTCAAAGGCAAGGCCTGGCTGTTCTGCTTGCATTACTTTCAAGGTGAAAAACTGACTGTACTCTCAGGTGGAGCAATTTGGGATGAGACAGTACTGGCAGTGCAGTAATGCAATCCTAGGAACCCACCACATCCTGCATACAGATTTGTTGGACCTTGTGCTTGGAGCGGCACGCTTAGCTGAGACACGCAGCTAACAGGGCTTCAACATATTGATCGCGAAACAGACTTAATATAAAAAGGTCCTGTCTCTGCCACGCTTCTCTGTTCCCAGAGAAGAGTTTCATGTTGTTAAAATGCAGTTCTGTGGTCCATGTTATGAACAGCACTAACTTCATTTTCAGAGGTGTTATCTGTCTCACTTTGGATCCAGTGGCACCAAGTGACTGCCATGGGCCCTCTGGAAAGGACTTTCAGCTCACAAAAGCTTGCTCCCACAGAGCTCATGCCAGCATTTCCCCCTCTTGGCAACCTGGCCCCTGGGCTCCTGTGGCACACAGGCCCCATTACGCTTGCACCAGCATCAGCTATGTCCTTGTCCACACCTGCAACCTACGAAGCTCTCGCTTGTTTCAGGACTGTATTTAAAACATGGCCTGGGTCTGCTGTTGTTCAGGTCCGATCTGCGCCAGCAGCTTTAGGATACTTCTAAATGCTGCAGTCCTCCTGCAGTCCCAGCGGGGAAAGAGCCAAGCAACACTAGCTGTGGCCTTCAGCAACCTGGTCTATCTTTGAAGCTGCCCTTTCTTTGGGCAGCAGGCTGGACTTCCAGATGACCTTGAGAGGTCCCATCCAACCTCAGTTATCCTATGGGTCTGTGAAAATTCAGCAGCACGTGATCCCTCTCCCCCATGTACATGTTTCTGTGGAAAGCCATAGGTACTAGCACAAAGGCAGCGGTTGTATACTCGGCCCCAATGCTTGGGGTTCCCATGACTGTGAGACATGTTGTGGGCCGGCTCTGCCCCATGGTCAGGAAACAAGCTCCGTACAGAGACAGTGACTTCACTCTGTGTCTGAGGTGAACAAGAAAGTGCCAATCTTGTGCAAAGCACGGCTGAGGGGCAGCGTTAGTGGGGCTGGGCTCAAGACCAGCTGGGGACTAATGTTACACTAGTGAGTGTGGTGCTCACTTCACTGTAGTTTTCCTCCAGATTTAAGTCTTGTTTGCTTTCCAGTCCAGGTCAGTATCCAGTCGGGACACAAAAAGAGCTGAAACTATGCAAATAAGCAATGGTTACCTGGACTGCCAGGTTTTTGGAAAAAGACTCTCTCCTTTACTACTGGGTGGTTTATCCAGTGTCCTGAGAGATGGGGTCCTGATCCGTGAAAGGATCTCTCTGTGTTACAAGAAATAAAGTGTAGCATTAGGCTTTGTTGAAAGCAGTTGAGCAAGAAGTGAGTGAAAATTTTCTGTCAAAGTTACACGTCATCTTTTAGTTAAGCGGATGTGTTTGTGTACATAAAACATCTCCTTTTCATGGAAGATGTAGATTAAAAAACAAAGAAGAAATACTAAATCCAGGAAATTTTGGCCATTGGTCTTTGTTTAAGGAAAAAAAGAGACAATTTCTGTGGGGGTAAAAGTTCACTCAAGGCCAAAGTAACTAAACTGAGGAAACTGAAGTCAAAAAGGCTAATGTACTTGCTGGTTTGCTAAGATTGAAGTCATGCTAGTTTTCTACTAGCTGGTTTTATTTAGTTCGTGAAAGGGCCCAGGGTCCATGATGATGAGGAGAAATGATTAAACACAAATGCTTTCTCCTTTCTTGTTCCAGCAATTGAGTTCTAACACTCCTTAGCTACCATTAGCCTTACAGACCATTTCTCCTGCTTGAGGATGAGTGGTTGGATTTATCAGAAAATGGTGCTGATATGAGGTTTGGCTGTAATTCCAGGCAATGGTCAGCTCTTGATAGAAGTGAAACTCTGATGACTTCATTAAGTGGCAGCAGTTTTAGGCTAGCTTCCTGAGTTTGAATGCCTGTCCTTCTTTATGACAGGCATTTTTTATTTTTTTTTAATAACAAGAGTATTGCTTTTTAAAGGGAAAGACACCAGGATGTTGTGGTTGTTTACAATAGGTACTTCTCACTGTTACTGAAGAGAGCTACCTGCAATAGCTGTTCAGGTTGCATACCCAGCTCTCCAATGACACTGGGGCTTCATAATGTACAAAATCCCACCAAAGGCTAGCAGCAGAGCCCAGTCTACTGTGAGGTTGAAAGCGAATTATTTTTTAAAAATTATTTCTGTATATATAATGAATGATTTGTACCTGATTAGGGAAATTCCAGATTCCTACAAAAGCTAAAGAATAAAAAAATCTACATAATCAAATGGCATAGCTTTAGGGATTAAAAAGAAAGGAGCATTTTCATTAAGTGTTATAACTGGTACTTACCAAAGGCCAGTGGTGACCCTGCTTTTAGGGCTGGAGGTCTCTCAGCGTAGTTATTTCTATTCCTGCTTTCACTGGTGAGGACGGTGCTGGCGGAAGGTTTCTTTAAGATTTCCTCGATGGAAAAGGGCAGGTTGGGCTTCCCCTGGCTGGCACAGACCCGAGGGTCCATCATCTTCCTGCCAAAGTGGCCACGGGGCAGAGAGTCCTCTCCTGCTGTCCCGGCTCTTGGTGCACCCCGAGAAACATGCCGCTGGGAAGGTGTGCGTCTCTCCCCACCCATGCCTGGCTGGCGTGCAAGAGTGCTGGCAGGAGAAACAAAGGCGACCCAGGAGTGAGCACATGCGCCTGCTCCTCTCTGCTGATCGGCTTGGGACCAAGACCTGCGCTCCCGTGTCTAGGGAAGACAGCATTAGAAGTGGGGGTGAAAAGTCTTAACCAACCCCACCCACTGCCGAACATTCCCCACCCAGCGTAGATTTACGGAGCTCTGAACAATCACATGGCCATCCCAGGAGGAGGTGTGCTCCTCGCAGACCTGGGCAAAAAATGCCCTGGGAAGGGTTGCTTCTTGTTGGTAAATCCTGTTTGTGGGGCAGTTATCATCCTTTTCAGCTTTCTGGCTGAAATCTGTGACAAGCCCACTGGATTTGTGCTATTATGGAGTTAAGAAAATAATCGTCAGGATGAATACTTGTCCCTTGTGCCATTTACTAGCAAAAGAGACACCCTGTAAACTTCTCTCACATAGAAGGAGGTGTCACACATGGAAATCTCCCTCACCAGCAATTCTCAGGTTA